CTTTCAACACCGTCTACTAGCCGTTTCTTGGTCAAAAACTCGATCACCAAGGAAGGAGTTTAATGTTCACAATTCAAGAACCCAATTTGAGATGTTATATTTCCAAAAATTAAGCCTCCACCCTCATCGATTTTCACCCTTTGAAGAAATCCGAATTTTTTGCATATATCTTTATTGTTTGCTGTATAATTGAAGTTATATTTAGTTGAGGGTGGTGGGAGGTTAAATTTTAAACTCAAAATTTAACTTCTCCATCCAAAATATCATCCAAGTTCATATAGGTAAGTGGATCGTACGACCAGCAAGTTAAGTTAAGAACACACAACAATATACACCTTTTAGGGATATATAGCATCTTTACAAAAGGATATATATTTCTCGCTTTATCCCAGATATATTTTGTAACATCAGTTCGAGTATTTCTAATCACTCAATAAATCAAAGAACATACTCAACTTTCTCATTTATACTGTATTCACAATTGTGTCTTAAATCTTAAAAACTTAATACAATTGTTTGGTTTGTGAATACAAGTTGAGGTGTTAGATAAAATAATCTTCCTTTCATACTTGAATCCCTTAATTTCAAGCCAACTGTTTTTCTAGACATATCTCATCAAATCGAATCAACCATAGTTATTGACAAAATGTTAAAGTAGCAAACACTATAATAAAATTTTGAGAAATAGTCAAAAAGTCATGAAGGTATATAAGTGAGGTCATATGTGCCTCAGAGACTCACATAATGAAGAAGTATGGATCAATTCTTTCATTTCTCATCGGTCATTAAAGCATACGTGGTATGAAATATGCATCACGATGCTTTCTTCCTTTCTTAGGGTGTGTGTCTAATTTTACAAATAAAATATACCGTACAAATCATAGTTCAAATATTTCTCGATATCTAAAATGAGTTCTCCTTATAAAATGAGTTCTCCTTATATTTATCCATAAAATAGGTTTTATGGATAGCAAAAATCTATACCGATTACATGTTGTAATATCATCTTGATATCTCATCAAGACGACTTGATATGTACACAATATGATCACTGTGTCTCAACCTGTTTGATATACTTTATGTGTGCATATTAAATGGTAATCTAAAAATCACAACAAAATATTACTCGTAACATATGAACTCAAAACATTGTTAATTAATGAAGTTACATGAAAAGTTTATATAGTACATATTTCAAATTCTACGCTATCGCAGAGATTTAACCTAAGTCATAAATATATCTGTAGGGATAGATTTTGTAAATTGATCTGCTACCATTTGGTGCGTATAAGTATACTGCAAACTCACTTCCTTTTTTCTTATGATGTCTCTTACAAAATAATATTTTGTATTAATGTATTTGGTTATGCCGTAATACTTGGGATCCTTAATTTGTATATGCAATAGTTCCTGACTATCACAGTAAATCAATATAGGTCACACATCACCATTAAAAGACACTTAGATGCTATAAGAATTTCCTTAACCAAATAGTTTCACAAATCAATATAGGACAAGGCACCTTTTTGAGATGTGTCAAACTTAAGTTCAAGATTTGGTCAATCGTTCACCCCTTGTATGTAACTCCAAAATGCAGGATAACCTTTATTTATAAGTCTTTATTCCTTAGATGCATAATTTAACTACATTTTGCTGCCGAATAGATTTATCCATTGACTTTTCTTCTTGAGAAATTATTCTTTACGGTCAAAGCTGAAAATGGAACACTAAGGATTTGTTCTCTTTACCATTTTCAAACCGTTTTCTGTTTTCGATTTTCTAAAACAATGAAAACGCGTTCTCTGTCCTATTTTTGAAAACGCGTTTTTGAAAATAAATTAAAAATTTACAAAGAAAACCCAAAACGACAAATTTGTGTCGTTTTGGGTGTTTCAGTTATAATCAAGTCAAAATTTTCAAAAAGCGTTTTGAGTGTTTTTAAAACAATTTTTCACAATGCCAAAAAGAACACATTTTCAACAATATCAAAATGGACGCTTAAAACACAAAACACAAAACTGAAATACAAAGAAATCAACCCCCAATATTTTCTTGTATTCTTGTTCTCTTGCAACTTTCATAGTAGGCCAAAAGCCTATACATAACAAATTATTGGTGCAATAAATAATTAATTAGTAAACTTGATAAATAATTAAGTGCCAATAACGTGGAATTTATTGTGATTCTGAAAATGTGAAAATTAATACAAGAACGACAGCCATAGCCAAAATTGTAGATTTGTATAGATGGTGTTGAAATGAGGCACGGAGGCTGTCTTCATCCCCTTCATATTCTATACTGATAATGATATACTAAAAGTGACTTCATTTTTTGTCCATCCTATTTTATTATTATGAGTTAATATCTATTTAATTATTATAACAATGTATGATGGTACATGTTATAAGATATTCGGATAGTTCATTTCGTATATCTTATAGAATTTTCGATTGAAAATCCAAGCGAAGAAAAAATTCATCCGAATGGTATGATATTGATCCAATGAAAATGTGAAAATAAAAAGTCGACATCAATTACTAATGAAAATTAACCTCAGAAAATCGATAGCAAAGTACATCATTTGTTGGGGTCAAAATGTGGAAATTAAAGTGAAAATTAGAGTTTGACTTTTAAATCTCTTGATAAGTGGATTTTATCATTTATGCACTATCTATGTCATTAAACATGAATATTTGGGAGTACTTTTAAGTGGACATGGCAACAGTTCAGTTCGGGGTTGATTCGGCCAAAATTATACCATCAACTTTTTGGACATATCATAACCGTACCTAACCACATAAGTCAGTTCAGTTCGGTTCGGTTCGCATCTCAGTTCGTTTCGGTTCGCGTCCAAACTCCAAACGTCAAAGTGAAAAAAAATTATGATAGCCATAAATCCCTTCTTT